GAAAAGGAGGTTGGGTAGAGCCTTTCATAGTACTTGGAAGGAATTTTAAGAATTTTTTCTTTCTTTTTTTAAATCTCACCTTCTGCATCTCTGGCAGACACTCAATCACTTTCAAAACCATTCTTAGTTTTCTGTAAATAGCTACTAAATCACACACAAGCTACTGTATACGGAGGCAGGCAATGCTCATCTATATTAAAAGAAGTAAAACAGTCTGTTTTTCCCCCCTCAGTTGTTATTACTAGACAGATACTCATAAACTTTATTTTTAACTTCCCAGTGAAACTCACAGCTCGGAGTCAAACTCACAAGTAACTTTCATACCTGATGCTTTTCCTAACTTACTTAGATTTTCTCTTATTGTATTTTATCCAGACATACTGTTTACATGTGTGGAAAATGGCCACCTCGTCATTAAGAATAATCTGTTAAGGTGGATAAGATTATAAAAATAAAACAGGGAAAAGGCAAGGATTAATTCAAAGAAGTAAAAACCACCGAGCATTGCGGTATTTGTGTGAAGTTTCCACCTGAGCAGAGAACATTGTTAGCTAGCCCCCTCCCAATAAATACATAGATTACATTCACTCTGTTTCATAAATAAGAGGCACTCAAATAATTGCTGGGGAAAGCCATCCTTAATCTCATGCACACCGTACTCTAAGCAGCCTCTCCCCAACCCAACTTGCACTCAAATTTCAGAAATTCATGATCAACTTCCAACTCTATCCTTTCAGGTTGCAGAAAGTAGAAATGAATCTTTCTCTCTCTCCCTTTCCACTTTACAGGAGCTGTTGAGAGTGTATGGCAGAATTTGTAACCCAGAAACAAAACAAGCAGACAAGCAGTCTTTTGGGGGTGGGGGTGACGGGGTGGTGGCATTATGCTAGATGCTTTATGACTATTATTTTAACGTTTGTCTCACAGAAACCAACAATGTATCCATCTGTTTGGTGTTGTTTAGGGGCAACTTTGCACAGAAATACTGGTGAAATGATACAGGGTCATGAGACAGTGTCTCTACTTATTTCTCAGACTTATATCCTTTACTCTCTGTATGGCCATTTGGAAAGGAGTCTTGGCTGCCAACCGAAAAGTAGGTGGTTGACCTCCAGGCCCCTCAAAGGGAGAAAGATATTGTGTTCTGCTTTCGTAAGGATTATAGAGAGCCAAGAAATCCCTTGGGGGAATTCCACTCTAACATATGGGCTTGCTGGCAATAGGTTTTCGGTGTGTGGCAATTTGGCACAACAATTAAGCATTTGGATACTACTTGAAAGGTTAGCAGTTGAACCTATACAGGTTCAATGTCTTGGGAGAAAGAATCAGCAAGTTTTTTCTATAAAAATTATAGCCAAGGAAACTCTACGGGGCAATCCTACTTTGTCGTATGGGTTTGCAATGACTCAGAATTAACTATGTAGTTAATGTTAAATAATCCAAATCAAGCCCATTACCATTTCCAACTCGTAGTAAACCTATAGATTATCATGCAACAGGTTTATAGGAGTTGAAGGCTGTAATCAGCACAGCATCAAATGGTCACATCTTTCTTCCATGGAGTAGCTGGTGGACTCAAACCACTGACCTTTAGGTTAGCAGCTAAGCACTTAGTCACTACCCCAAGGTTCTTCTAGCTAAACTGAAAAAACAAAACAAACTCATTGTCACAGAGTCAATTCCCACACAAAGCAGACAGAGGAGAGCTGCGCCTGTGGGTTTCTGGGGCTATAAGACTGGAAAGTCTGATCGTTCTCCCTTGGAGGGACTGGTAGTTTTGAACTGGTGACCTTGCAGTTAGTAGCACTACCCTATACCACCAGGGCTATATATCCAAGAACTCAAGCACATCCAAATCCAGGTGATGCTGTGGAGGTAGTCCGTACATGTGATTGATTGGCCTGTACATCCATTGACTTCAGTCAAGGCGATGACGCTTCACAATCTGGGGAGGGCTCGTCCAGCCTCGAAGGCTTAACGAGTAAAACTGAGGCTGCCTTTTGGTAGAAGAAGCTATCCCTGAAGACTGCAACCTAAAACCCTGCCTGGGTCTTCAACTTGCTGGGCTGCCCTGCAAATTGCAGACTTTCCATGTCTCACAACGGTATAAGCCAGTGGTTCTCAACTTTCCTAATGCCATGTCCCTTTCATACCTTTCTCATGTGGTGATGACCCCCAACCATAAAATCATTTTCGTTGCTACTTCATCACTGTAATCTCGCTACTGTTATGAATCGGATGACCCGGTGAAAGGGTCGTTTGACCCCCAAAGGGGTCGTGACCCACAGGTTGAGAACCGCTGAAATGCCATGAAATGAACCTCTAAATGTGTTTCTCCTGCGGGTCTCACTGTGAGACCTGCCTAATCCTGTCTGCCTCAGAAAAGCAAAGACAGCGCCTTGTGTGGTTGGTTGTGTCAGGCGACGGGGGCATGCTGTCGTTGGTTTAGGGTGGATGCCATGGAGTCGACTCTGATGTCGAGCAGCCCTGTGACCCACAGAAGGGCACACTGCCCTGTCCTGTACTCTGTGCCCCGGGGCTTGTTATGTTCGAGCCCATTGTTGCCGCCACTGGGTCAATCTATGCGGTGAAAAACCTCCTCTGTTTCTCTGACCCTTGACTTTACCAAGTGCAGTGCCCTTCTCCATGGACTGACCCCTCCTGATCACATGCCCACAGAGCAGGAGACAAAGACTCACCACCTATGCTTCTAAGGACTATAGCATTTGTTTTTCTTCTAATATAATTTTGTTTGTTCTTTTGCCAATTTGTAGCAATTTCAATATTTTTTGTCAACATCATAATTCAAAGGCATTAATTTTTCTACCCAAAACCACCTCAACGAAACACAGTGCCATCAAATTGATCCTGACTCAAAGCAGCTCATCGGACAGAGCAGAACTGGCCCTGTGGGGTTACAAGGTTATAAAGCTGTCAGGGAGCAGAAAACCCCATCTCTTTCCCATGCAGCATCTGTTGGGTTCAAACTCCTGAACTTGTGGCTTAGCAAGCCAATGCAAAATCCACTACCCACCAGAGCTTCCTTTCTTCTAGAATTTTCTTTATTCATTTTCCACCTTTCACAAGCATCCAAGGCTTATGAGGCTGTTAGGGCTGTCAAGGTAGTTCCCACACAAAGTGACCCTAAGTACAACAAAACAAAGCAGGACCCGGTCCTGCGCCACCCTCACAATTGCTTTTATGTTTGAATCCATCGGGCTGCCGCTTTGTTACTCTATCCTGTTGAGGCTCTTCCCTTTATTTTGCTGTCCTTCCTTTTTACTGTCCTTTTCCAGAGACTGGTCTCTCCCGATTACATGTCCAAAATATGTGGTATAAAGTCTCATCATCTGTGTTTCTAAAGGACTGCTCTGGGTGTACTTCAAGACAGATTTATTTTTGTTCTGTTGGCAGTCAATATTCTTTTCCAGCACATAATTCAAATGCACCAATTCTTCTATGGTCTTCCTTATTTACTGTCAAATTTTCACATGCATATGAGGCAATTGAAAATACCATGACTTGGGTCAGGGGTGCCCTAGTACTCAAAGTGGCATTCTTGATCTTCAACACTTTAAAGAGACCTTGTTATGGGTGCTATAGCAAAGTGTGGTGAAGAGATTACATGGTGCCCAGCTGTCAGATAAAATAGTGTCTGAGGTCTTAAAGGTTTTTTTTTCAAACAAGCAGCCATCTACATGAGAGGTCAACTAAGTCCACATGGAAGAAGCACACCAGCATCAGTCCCTGAAGATTGTATATCATATAATGAGAAGTTGAAGGAGGGATTCGTATCAGAGACTAAATTGTGAGAATCCAGTTTGCAGAAGCTATGGATGAGAGTGGAAGCCCAAGATACATTTGTGGGAACTGCATAGGAAATAAGCCTCCATGGATTTCCCTCTACCCACCATTGAGGAATGGGAGGAAAGTGGTTGCTAAACAGAGTGCAATGGAGAGATGAGTGTAGGTCAGAGGGGTCAACCTGACCTGAACAGTTGAAACGTTGTCAGCTGATCCCCACTCTGATGCACGCTGGACCTTGTCTCGTTTTCAACATTTTGGTTTTTGTTGTTCTTGTTGTTCATATGAGGGTTTATTTCTGATGTATTATGTCACCGGGGTCAATGCCTTGAAGTTGTGTTATATGTTTTTCTGTGTTTCGGTACATGAAACCCAAGATTGAAGAACCTATAGGGACAGCAAGTACAATAAGGATTTCCGGAGGGGTAGTGGTGGTGGAGGATACCGTGGTGGTGGTGGTGGGGCCGTTAAAATGACCCTTTGCTGATGTCAAGGAGTCCAGGAAGAAAAAGAATGTTTGGAAACCAATTGTGGTAGCAATTGTACAATACTTCTTGATGTGATTGCACTATTGAATGATATATGTATTAATTCCCAATTAAAAAACTATATATATATGTATATATATTTTTTTTCAAGAAGAGATCTTGTGCCATAGATCTACAGTAGATGCATTGCAATCCACCCTATCCATCCATGTGACTTCTTGACTGCTGCTTCTGTGAGCATTGATGGTGGATGTAAGCAAGATGAAATCCTTGACAACTTGCATCTTTTCTCTATTTCCCATGATGTTGCCTACTAGTCCAGGTGTGAGGATTTGAGTTTTCTTTCATTTGAGCTGTAACCCATACTGAAGGCTGCAATCCTTGATCTTCATCAGCAAGTGCTCCATGTCCTCCTCTCTTTAAGCAAGCAAGGTTGTGTCATCTACATATCAAAGGTTGTTCATACACCTTCCTTCAGTCCTGATGCCACATTTTTCTTCCTATCGTCCAGGTTCTAAGATTATTGCTCAGCACACAGATTGAACAAGGATGAAGTTATGAGCTTTAAATTAAAATCACCAGAGTGCTCAGGATCAGAAGGGAAACAAGGAGATTGTTGAGAACACTGATATTCATAGTAAGAGTGGCTATTTCCCTCAGGTTTCTAGTTTGGATGATCAAAGGAATGGGTGGCAGGAGGTCAAGTACCTGAAATTCCAGCATGGTCTTCCCCATGTTGGACTCCAGCATGGAATGATAAGCCCCAATGCTGGTGCTGGGGTCATCAGCGTCGTCTAAGGTGCCCTTGGAAAGAAAAGCAGAGAAGAAAACATTACTGATTTTCTGCCCCTTCTCGGGCAGTCATGAGTTCATTCTGTGGCGACACAGTGAATGTTCTAACTGTCCTTAGCTTTCACAGGGTCACTCTACATCCAGGTCTGTAGCCGACTTTAGATACAGTTCTTAATCTCACCTTGGCTCCAAGAGGTGGTTATAATGGACCCGAATTTAGCATCTGATTAGAACGCTAACAACGTCTATATATTTGCCGAAAGAACATTTATTCCAGCGGCTGTCAAATAGGCTCCTGACTCAGGGTGACCTCAACACAAGGAAACACGGCCTTTGCCCTCCTGTGATTGGCTGACCTTTGTGCTCCACAGGGTTTTCATTGGTTGATTTTCTGAACTAGAGCATCAGGCCCTTCTTTCTTACAACTCCATCCTAGTCTGGCACATCCACTAAAACCTGCGTAGCATCACAACAGCCCAACAGCCCCATGGACAGACCAGGCGTGACTGTGCGTGATGCACAGAAAGCCCCGTATCGTTGCACTTGGCTTTTCTTGGCGGACGTGAACATTTGTGTGGTTGCCCTCTGACACTGCCTTCACTGGTTATTGAAATCCTGAGACCCTGGACTTGCTCTGATGATAACCAGACGAGGTCATTGACATGGACAGAAGTCTCGTATTTTATTGCTATGATTCTTAATGAGAGCCTTTTATAATAAGTTCTTGTTCAGCCTAGAGACGTGGGTCTTGGTTTATATTTTTTCACTCCTGGACTACTTAATCTTTAGGTAACAAGGTAGGTGGGTGATGGGGAGAAATGAGGTTCCCTTTCATTTTGGTTGGAGGGAGAGCTGGTTTTAAAAAAGAAAGGAAGAAAGAAAAAGCTAAATGGAGCTTTGAGTGGCATTTGGGCCAATTAGCTCGAGCTCGCTGTTCCACATCCCGTGGCCTTGGATTCCTGGGAAGGTGGGCCACGGCTGCTTCGTGAGGCTGAACAAACAACTGCCAGCATCAGATAGCAGCAAATTTATAGCTTTTGAATGCAATAACATTAACACACTGCTGCTGAAATATTTATGTTGGCTTTTCAAATATCCCAGAGGAGAGCCATCGAAAAGGATGAAAGCCACATATATTTTCTTTCTTTAGAAAATTTCCATACAAAAAAGATAAATCACATTTACATGGAGGGCCCCTCCCAACTCCTGAGTAAACTCCACACCTATATAAATCAAGCTTCATTTCCCTCACTTCTGTTCCTCAAAGGTCTTTGAAATGTATCGGCCTGGCAAATGATGGCATCCTTTCCTCCTCCGTGCAGACAGTCAACAGAGCTGCCCGCTGACAACTCTCTGCCTGGCTGACCACTCTCCTCGTCCCTTACCCATTCCCTTATCTCTCCCCTAAGTGATAAAGGCATTGATGAGGAGAAAGGAAGAGGGGTCATTGCTGGTCTGATTGTGCCACCTTTTTCACCATCAGTTTCTTCAGAGAGACTTTTTTTTTTAGTTCCACTAGTGGTTACTCTTTGGGCTGTGATCTGCAATCAGCAGTTCAAAATCCTCAGCTGCTCCTCAGGAGAAAGAGGGCTTTCTACTCCTATGAAGAGTTAAGAGTCTCTGAAACTCACAA